TGGTACCAAAATATTGTACGCAGCATGCTGCATGTTTAAAAAAGCATTTGTTTTACAATTTATGCCAGGAAAACTGTCAAAAAGTTAGCAACATGTTTAAAAAGTCAACACTTGATATGTTTATGTTATTAAAGTAAACATCCATCCATCCATCCATCCATTATCTTTACCCGCTTATTCCATTTTGGGTCACGGGGGTCGCCGGTGCCCATGTCCAGCAATCACTGTGCGAGGGGCGGGGTACACCCTGGACGGGTCGCAAGTCCATCACAGGGACACATAGAGACAAACGAGACAAACAACCATTCACTCTCTCACTCACACCTAGGGACAATTTAGAGTTACCAATCAGCCTAACATGCATGTTTTTGGTCTGTGGGAGGAAACCGGAATACCCGGAGAAAACCCACGCATGCACGGAGAGAACATGCAAACTCCACCCAGAAGCCTGGACCGGGGTTTGAACCAGGGACCTGCTCCCTGAGAGGCAGCAGCTCTACCAGTTGCGCCACCATGCTGCCCTTAAAGTAAACATGTTTATTGTAATTCTTTTTTGCTTTTCTGCTAGTGCAATAGTGGGAGTCTGATCTCAGGTAGTCAGTAGAGGAAATGAGTAGTTGTGCATGTGCGTTACTGCCCATCATACACCACATATGTACTGTATGTGCAAGGAAGTAGCATGACGGATGGTATAACATAGACTTTTAAAACTTGGACTAACTCATATAATGAAAGATCCTCTGGACAGTTTTTTATTTTATTTTTTTTGTTGAAACATATCTTATATAATCTAAAAGAATTCTTCAGTCCAAGGAGATGCAACCAAACTCAGACTTATAAATGGCACCTTCACATAGTCTGTCAACCAGTTTGATGGTGCTCAGATGGTTTCTGGAGTCCGCTCTCTACCCCTCCGACTCGTTTGATGCAGTCATGGCCAAAGTGATTCAAAACATCTTGATTCGTGCGCATTAATCCAGGTAGAAAGTCCAACAAAGTTAAGTCAGGTCCTCTGGATGGCTTCATTGAAACATTTCACCAGTATCTGCAACCTCATTCTTTTCATCACTACCCAGAATTCATGGCCACACACACACACACACACGCACACACACACACACACACATATGTATATATATATATATATATATAT